TGGTTTCACAGCCATATTTCCTTCTCACCTGTGAATGAGAGGGAAACTGCTTATTTTCTTATTCCATTACTGTTACCAAAAGCGGGAAATTAATGGTAATTTTCATTACCAGCCCGGATACTGTCCCTCATTTGCACTGTTTTTTTTTTTACAATAAAAAAAATGTTAGAGGACTTAATCGTCGGGTTATGGCTGATATATTTAGCAATGTTCTAAAAAATCCCTATTAGAATTATTAGTTATAATACAGACTTGTTATCATCTATACTACCGTATATAAATATGAATCTTGCATTATGTAGCAGACCATGTAACGTAATAATACCAGACCATGTTTGGAGGTATTACTTGGGCCACGCTGTAGTGTCTGTAGTAGAGCAGGTTAGTATGTTGTTAGAGAAACAGAACAAAACTAACGATCTATGCAAGTGTAGGTAGTCCCAATAGTAAGAAAGCTTCGGGTTCGTATAGGGATGCAAATTCCTAAAAAATACAAGTTGAGATTCGATGTTTCGAGCGAAGGTTCTTTGTCTTTATAACAACTTCCCGACGAAATGACTTCGCTCGAAAGGTCGAAGTTCCCCTGATATTTTTCAGCTATGTATGTAATTGCATCCCTATTAATTAATCCGAAGCTTTCTAGAAAAAATCCTGCATGTATGGTAAGAAATCACGTGTAGATGGCCTTAATTTCCATAAATGAATCGTTAAGTTTGAAAGAGAATGAGATTGAAAGGCAATAAAAATTACTTTTGTCCAAATTCAAAGCAATCTAGACTTATTAGGCCAATATCTGAGGGAATATCACTAATAAGTTACTGATCGAGAGTGAGCGCTGTACGGGAAAATATCCAACCGAGGTCTTGCTATATTGACCGAGCGATAGCGAGGTAAATACAGCAAGACTGAGGTTGGATATTTTCCAGTACTGCATGCCCGAATGGTTTAGGTCAGTAAATTTTTATTATATGGCATTGTTCGTTTGTAAAAAATGAGACAAAGGTCACGCGCGGGCAAAGTACAAAGTCCGAAAAATTTGCAAATAACATGAAAAGAATTGTAAAAAAGTGTTCTATTGGTTAGTAAATTTAAACTACTCTACAGCACCTTTTATACATAATACTAACACAGTTTGGATAGTATTTCAAGAAGAATACGAGGTATTTCGTCATTTAATCAAAGACAACAAATATGAAAACAATAAAATTAACAAACAGTATGGACAAATACGTTTTAGTTCGCTTCATCTCATATATTTATTTCTTTTTATCTAACAAAAATATAAATTTTCAGTGAAAAATTATATATCTGTTGCTGCTTTAGTTGTATTTTTTATTTAGGATGGTGTCAAATTCTTCCTGGCTATCTGCAAATAAAATTTACAGCTTTCCACATGGTCAAAACACAACATTTTCTTACTGCTTTTATAGCCAATTTTTAAAAACATTGTAAAGTTAACCTTGTAATTTCGACTTTTGCTGACAAAAACGTATTGAGAAAGTTCTTTAAATTAACCACAGCAGTTGCTCCATTTCTTTATTTTAGGTTTATTTTTTCGTTTTGAATACTTTTCATCAAAACAAATGCTTGCCATATAATAAATTCAAATATATTACCTTTTCCACTTATATTTCTCATTTGGCTAATGAGCACATTTCCCAATCTTTGTCTTTTATCGAAATGATGTAAACCCTGAAAAAATAATGACAAATGAAAGCAAAATAGGTCTCAGATGGCAAGGTTCCTAACGCTCAATGTAAAATATGGAGGTATACGCGCTTTCCAAACCGTTGTATTTAAAGATATACTTATATGGGTGCCTAAGAAGTATGTAATTAGCTGTATCCTTTAGGATACATTCTGTTACGTTTAAGAGGAGATTTTCTGGTATGTTACGTAACACACGCTCAAAACTAATGCGTATAATATATCACTTGAGGTTATGACTAAATTCAAAATGTTTATTTTTCGATACGTTTCTCAATCGGCAAACAAACTTAAAAAGTATGTTCAGTATTTTATGTCTAAAATAATGCCAAAATGAAGAGATTATAGATGATACGCCAAAGACAAAATGATGTCTGAAGTTCAGTAAGTTTTGCTTATATGGCTATAAATACATGGTGTCAATTTTAAAGCATCATTGATATTTGTACTTTAATCGACAATTTTTAACTATTATTTTATATTTCTCAACCGGCAGATGCATTTAAAAAGGTAGTAAACTCTATAAACTAGAGAATAAAGCTAAAACAAAGTAATTTTGAGATGAACGCCAAAAAGATTTTAGGTTTTGAACGCTTTTCATTGCAAATAAGTGACATTGAAAAAACATGCCTCTTAATGTTTAAGAAATGGGCGGCAAAGTATACTAGCATGTTCATTAAACTGTATAACGAAATTGTTACAATTGCAATATTTGCAACATGAGCAAGCATGCGGTATTAAACATATACAACCATGTGGATGAAACTACTAGATATTGTAACTAGTTTGTATAATTATGTTTTCAGTATTTGTTGGAATTTACATGCAAAAGTATACACAGTATATATTTAACGTTATCATTGCAATGCTCGTCAATTATTCAATTAACTAACTAAATTAAAGGACATTTGCAACCAAAAGATTTATTGCTTTAGCTGAAAGAGCATGAAGAAATAAGCCGGTTGGTCGTTTTATGCTCTATTCTATCTCATCTAGTTCCGAAGTTATACGCAAAAATGTGCAAAGTGTAAATTGCTGATTCAGCACAACGTGTGACGTCATTAGTTGGGTAAGGATGTTTATTGAGTAAAATGAAGCATAGCTCAGTTATTATGGGCCCAAATCAAATGAAATTTTGCATACTGGTTGTAAATGATGAGGCGCATTGAACAACGCTTCTAATTTTGTTGCCAAAGTAACAATGTCGTTCCCAGACCCCTTGCGCCAATTTTATAAAACAGCTTTATTCATGGTACTGATAAGGTTAAAATAATATCAGAAGTACGTGTGCCGTACCTATGCATGCCCAAAGTTTACTTGCTTGATAATAATTCGAAAATGACATACACATAGATAAATGCAACTAGTTATTTACAATCAGTGTAAGGGGCCTGGGATCGACTGTGTTGCCTTGACTGCAAAATTAGAAGTATTTTCTCATGCATCTCATTATGTACTATCTGTATGCAAAATTTTATTTGATTTGAGGCAATAATAACTTAGCTATGCTTTAGTTTACTATTCAATAAACATACTTACCCAACTAATGACGTCACACGTTGCGCTGAATCAGCAATTTATATTTTGCAAATTTTTGCATATAACTTCGGAACTAGATGAGATAGAATAGTGCATTCAACGGTAGAATAGAGCATTAAACGGCCAACCGGCTTATTTTTTCATGCTCTTTCAGATGAAGCAATAAAAATTTTGGTTGCCAATGTCCTTTAACGAACATAGCGATTAACATTTTTCTTTGCCATTAAATTAACATTCTTAACAACGCAAACTTACATGTGGATATGATCAAACTGTTTGCATCAAGTATCAAGCTTACCTAATTGCATACTTAGACTAGACTACCTTATCTTTACAATTGGGATATTACTTTCTTTTCCGTCTTTATCCTAACGCTCCCCGGCTGCCAACTTCCCCTGCGATATACTCTGTGGACCTGCATGAACCCGTTGCGAGAATTGAATCCAGAATGGGGTGATAGGCTGTTGAGCATGCCAACGTAACAAGTCAAAACTTTTGTTTGACGTTTTAATGGTTCACGGTCAAGAGATTGATATTGCGCGCTGATATGACATGCAGTGACGTAGCCAGAGAGTGGTCCCGAGGCCTGGCTCCCTGGCAAAATTTGTGCCCTTTCGGATAAATTCTGAGCAGTACAAGCAAGTGCAATATACATCTTTCTATGTTTTAAACGTTTTGGAATCGTTTGTGACTAAGGGCCTGTTCATATGGGCAGAAGTTATCCCGTTTAGCGAGAAAACTTTTCGACAAGTTTACGAGCGAGATCTCGCCTTGTTACGAAAATAATATGAAAAGTTACATTGCGTTCATATGAGACGAAAAGTTTTCCCGTGTACCGAGATCTCGCTTGTTGACAGGCGAGATCTCGGTGACCGGGATAATGTTTTCCCCATATGAACACAACTTTCCCGCTTAGCGGGATAACTTTTTGTCGTGTCAGCAACTTTTCAATTCAATTGATGTTCATTGCTACGTCACAGCCGGAACTTTTCCCAGTAAGTGGGATAATATTTCTCCATATGAACAGAACAAAAGTATTTGGCTAGTCGAAAAGTTCTCTGGTTAACCGGGATAACTTTTGCCCATATGAACAGGCCCTAAGTGGAGTTGTTTGGTGTTAAATGGTTATTTAAAATTATCATAACACATTAAAATTAATAGCCGTTAATTTAAAATGTTTCAAATGGCATTTTACTGATTCGAGAATTTACCATTTTCCCAGAGGAGTATACCGCCAGACCCCTCAAAAATTCATTCTTCTATATTATGCATGAATAGTGTGGGAATCCAAATACATTTTCACATAGTAAACAAACTTTATTCGAACTAGCGCAGGGGGAAATTGCTTTAATTTCGCTCTGCTGGGATTTCTTCGGCACTCCTTGACTTTGATTCCTGGAATGCAATGTCAGTGTGACATAATTTCACCCTTTCCTCCGATCAATTCGTAGTTGAAAACATTAATTCCTCGCGTGTTAGTACTTCTGACAATCGTTCACTCCACTTTGTTCGCCCAAGATGATGTCATCCCTCCAGTTCATCCGGCGCAAGAAAGATCGGCATTTCGGCTCTAGATCTCCCCGAAAACAGTAAAGACCCGTGTTTCATGTAATTCGTATCTTAATTAAATCGAAACGTTACCACCAGACGATGGGCAAAAACTTACCGACAAGCCTTCAAATCGGGTCTCAGAAAGGAACGAGGCGTATAGCTCTCTGACATCACGACTTCGAAACTTCACATTCTCTGGACGATAATCTGGATAAGATAAACTTCTCTGATATAGTAGCGCTGCCGCCCATACACTATCGAATGCATAGCTCGTGGAACGATATGGGGCGTTGTGTGTACGGCGCATGTGATCCATGAATGTCTTTGAAGTCTTAAAATAAAATTAAAAAACAAAACAAAATCAAATAAATTATAATTAATATTTGAAGTTTGTTAGTTCACTGCAACCAGGTATATCAATCATGTTTCTCTCGCTACTCTGGTTTCTAGAAATGGAATCGATATCCTGCTGCAACATTTAAATTCTATCGAGCAGTCCATCCAATTCACGGTAGGACATGAGATAAATGGACACTTAGCTTTTTTAGATTTGATGTGCACAGAAATTTTGAAGGAAGTTAGAGACTGGTGTTTATCGCAAACCCACACACACAGACAAATATATATTTGTCATACGACTCTCATCACCCAGTAAGCCGTAAAATATTAGTTGCGCCGTGGCCGGGGGGGGAGGGCAGTTAGGGTGCATGCCCCCTATTGTTGTGACCCGTCGGAAAATTGTCAGTGCTGTCGGAAATTGTCGAAGTTGTCGTCTGGGGAGGTAAAGATTTAAAATGTTGTCGTCCGGAAAATTTTTTTGTTTGTCGGAAATTTTTTTCGGTTTGTCCGAAAAGTACTGCCCTTGCCCCAAACATGGGTCACACGGCGCCACTGTAAAAGATCCATAGCAAAAACTTTGCTTCAAAATGATGAATCCCTGTCGTAAAACAGTAATTCTCAAGCTAATGAATGTGAATAATATGTTTTAAATGTTTTAGGGGAAAACGATTACCCAAAACGTTTTCTTAATGATTGCATGAGATTACCTGTTTGTAGGAACCAAAATAACTTCGAGGGTGATAGCTCTGTTAAGGGTTATGCAATAGTTCCGTACATTCAAGAACCAATCAATGCAAGAGAATCTTGAAGTAATTTTAATATTAAGATTGCCTTTAAACTGTATTATATTAAGGTTGCCTCTGGCAATCCAGGCTTTATCAGAGATAATTTCTACATTTTTAGTTGTTTTACGCAAATAATAATATATGTAACGGACAAACTACACACCTTGAAGAAGAAATCATAAAAAAATTTTTAAAAACCTCTTACCAAACCAGAGAGCGTTTCATTATTATCTTGGCGTATGGGCATTTGAGTGAACGCAATGAATCTATCCGCTGCTTCAATAATTTGTCTGAGATTACAATCAACAGTTTTCTCGTAGTATTTATGAAAAATCTTTGGTGAAAACCAATCGCCAGCTAATTCACCTGACAATAACCAGACATACTTTGGGCCAACCATACCTAATTTGTAAGCCTATTAATAAAGAGAATAATAATATTTACATTTTCCCTTTGATAAACCGAATGCCAGCAAGGATTATCGGCATTCAGAAATGGATTTGTCTTTTTTTATTGGAAAACATTTGAAGCCCTCGAGCTCGTAATGGCCTTGTCTATAGCAAATACAAACTGAGGCGGAAAATAATATTTTTCTCATGGACAATATGTTGCTGGTGTAATACTTGATTTATTTCTCGGTGCATAAAAGAGACCCATGCATGTGAAAAAGCGAAATATTAAGTATCGTGTTTTAGACAATAATATGTGCAGGATACCCCTCGCAGATGCCCCTACAAGTTCAAAACAAATTAGTAACAATTATTATTCATTTAATATGTATTCTCGTTTCTAATTGGTCAGAAAGCACCAGCTAATTTTCAGTATTCGGCATTTATGACGTATTTTCCGCCGATGACGTCATCAGCGTCCAATAATTATTTTTTTGGATCGAACATGCATCAAAAAAATATTATTAGACTCTCTCGTACCCAAACCCTTGCGCGGTCAAAAGCTTGAACCTATAAGCGCGTGAAAAAAAACAACAAACAAACAATGGCCTAGAGCAGATTTGCTTCGCTGAATGAAAGTGAACTCTCCAAATTATTGGCAGATAATGATAGTGAAACACGAAAAAAGCCACAAAGTGGTAAATAGAAGTAGAAATAGAATATTTAGCTGACCTTTGACTTTGTGCAAGGTGTTTGATATTCAAATTGTACTTTTCCTACCTCATGAACAGGAATCGTTTTATACCTTTCTCATGTCTTTAAATGTATAATAAAACAATTATTGGTTTCGGCTTTCGCATGATATCAAGAATTATTCAGACCTCGGTCTATGTTATCCGCCTCAGCTTCGCTTCGGCAGATAACATTGACCTCGGTCTGAATAATTCTTGATATCATGCTCAGCCTCATCCGATAATTACTTAGAATATTGTTCTTGTAAGCAAGAATAATGGGGTAGAAACAATGGAGCGAGACAAACCCGGCTCAAGCCTCTGACTCTTATCTAATCATAATCTGACCCTAATCTGAACGCTAACCTTAGTCCGAACCTGACGGTCTTCCTTTACTCCTATACCCCTGCGCGTGCAGCCTCTCGGCTCATTTTTGTCATAACCTTTATACCCAAAAGTCGTGGCTAAGGCTAGTGGTTTCTAGTGCAAAATTGTCTATTGGATTGGCTCAAATAATCATACTTGTTGGGCAACAGACGCGAGGTTTAAAATATATAATTATTTTCTTTTCGTTAAAATTAGGTCATTACATTCAAATCACTTTTATAGGTCATAAAAACATACCTATGTGTATATTAAACAAGCTAGCTAATTACCTTTTTGGTTTAGTTATTTAAATTCGACGCCGAAATTTCATGCAACCACGTCTCATTTTCTTAATGAGTAACAGTCAGGATTTGTCAATTAAGAAATACGGGCGATGGAAGCAAATGAATCTCCCGAAGAAATGCCCAGTTTTCCTTGTTTTTACAATTTTATACAAAACTAATAGAATAAATTAACGCCCAACGTAATGTTCCAATTCCTTTTCTTTAGTTTGGTTTGTCGTCTGTTTTTGTTTCAGATGAAAAAGTTCGATTAACCAGGAGATAGATAAATGCGGCGAAATAAACTACAGTGAAATTATCCCCTGTCTTACATTCGAAAAATGAACACGCGCGTGCAGGGCCGTACCTAAGACACTTATGTAGGGTGTTGAATATGCATATGGTCATGTTCACATCCCGCAAAAACAATCGCTTTTAAAAGACATCCGTCAGGCAGAACACGTGTATATAAATATGGGCCCCACCCCTAATTATAGTGTATAGGTACGGTTCTGCCGGCGCATGAACCTATTGCATGAAGATTTGAGATTTCAAAGTGCGTGTGAAAAAAACCCCGCGAATTGTATACGAAATGATATTGTCTATAAAATAACAACATTAAGCTTTTAAGCCCATTCATTGGTCAAGATCAATGATCTTATTTGAGGACAAACGCGCGAACTTACGTCACACAAAACGTTATCCAATTGCATTCCCTTATTTGTATAAATCGTATACTTGTGATATTTGAAAATTTCGACTTTTTCAAATTTCCATTGGGTTGGGTGGATAAAAGTTAGTTTAATTTGGGAGTTTTATTTTTATTTTATAAAACAGATAGATAAGATTTTGCCGTTGTTTGTTCAAGTATAGATACACGTACAGTATGACATCATAATGTGGAAAGAACAGAAAAGTGATCCACTCGCCACATTGTGCATGACGTCGTACTGTGTATCTATAACTGAACAGATAACGGAAAAATATGTAATATGTAATATATTGCGCCTATGGTGGTTCGCGGTCGACTGACCTCCGTTTTATTCTGTTTATTTTGAGGTCAATCTTTACTGTTTTTAATCAACCCATTCATCAATCTAATGATAAATTTCTGGTGATTCAGTTCATATTTAATATATATTGGTTTCGTTTGGGATTTGTCAGTTATTTTGGATTATATTTATATCATGGTTGTCTGGGTTTGTTGTGTATCTCATTACAAATTGGCTATTGGTTTTCTAATATTTTCTCTGGATTGGTCTACTGGTTTAATATGAAAATTTACCGGTAAATTTGCGATTTCTGTCCCGAAGAAGCTGTGTTCGTTTCGTGACTTTTGGGTGATTATTTTATTGATTATCGTCGTTTATTTATTTTGGCAGTTGGAAACTTGAATTTGAATTACGACTTGCGTCCTCGTCATGGCAACAACTTTATTTCATTTTATCCGTGCTTTCTTTGACTGAAAGTAATATTTGTGCTCAATTACAAATTCTTGGATCTTTTTGGAACATTTTGTCATATACTTTATTGTCTATTTAAGTAACTCTTCTATATTTAACATAACGTTTGAATTATTCATGTTACATTCATCTGTTGGTCTTCAGTTTGAACTTTAACCTTCGAACTGCAATATATGCGGGATTTCCCTTGATATTCAGTTTATCCGCGAGTATCGATAATTTTATGAATTTCATGGCTATACTGATCTGAAATCTGTTTGTTCCAAAAAATTGTTAATTTTTGCTAACTTTCTGATATCGTTCCATGGCTTCTATTTTGGATAAACAATAGCAGTCTATCCTCTGGTTTATCTAGCCACAAGCTGTTGTACGCAAGTACCGATGTCCCCGACACCATTGTAAAAACGTTGGTTAATAGTCATGCTCACTGGATTACGGTAAAACAACGGCCGTTGTCAAGTTCTCAGAAACCTGTTTCTGGATGCCGTTTTCTACTTTATGCCTGCTACTTATCATTTACTCTGATTAGTTTATCCGGCGACGTTCAAACTAATCCCGCGCCCGATGGTTCGTTTAACTTTTGGTATCAGAATGTTAGAAGTTTAAAGACAAATTATCGTGACTCTACCACAAATTGCGTCCTGAATAAGTTATCCTGTCTACAAGATGTTGTTTATGGCAACAGTATTGATGTTATTGCTTTGACAGAGACTTGGCTGTCCAATCATGTACGAAATGACGAAATTTTACCGGTTGAATACAAGTTATTTAGGCGTGATCGACAAACTGGCAAACGGGGAGGTGGTGTATTGTTAGCTGTGAAAGATTCTGTCAGAACTGAACCAACTGACTTTGTTTCAGATTCATTGGAACTGGCTTCTGTTGTGATCAATCTGTCATCCAAAAAAGTTCTTGTCGCTGTGTGTTATCGCCTTCCTGATTCCTCAATTGATTTCCTGCACGAACTGAACCGTTTCTTGAAATTTGTTGCTGATTCTCAATTTAAAGATGTTGTTTTAATGGGCGACTTTAATTATCCCAATATTCAATGGTCTGACGGATCGGGTTTTTTACCATAGGATCAGAAATTGGTTTTAGTGACCTTATCACTGACTTTAGTTACTTGCAATTAATCAACTCATCTACTCGTCGTCATAATATCATTGACCTGGTTCTCACTACGAATGAACATTTAACTGACAACTTTGAAATTTCTGATGATGATTCCATCTCCTTACACTCGGACCATAAAGCTATATCTTTTGACTTAAAATTGCATCAACGACCAAAACAATCCACCGAGCGAATAGTTTATAAAAATTCAAAGCGATTTTTTTTTATTTTTTTGGCCTCCTAAACTGTCTTCAGAACGCTTCTTTAGTGAATTTAGTTCGCAATAACTGTGATGACATTAATGTTGCTTGGTCCAAGTGGAAAGCTGCTTTCCTTACTGCTGCCGATAGTTTCCGAAAACATCGCTCAAGCGTTCCTTCACGTCTCCTTATACGAAGGATCTACTTCACGCCATCAACATGAAGGAGTCCCTAAGGAGAAAAGCAAAGGCTAAGAACACGCCTCAATTGTGGGAGAAATTTCGCAAGACTCGGCAACACATCAAATGTTGGATTAATGCCAAGAAGAGAGAATATTTATCTGGACTGTCTCAATCCTTATACAATAACTCTAAATCATTTTGGATGATCTAAATCAAGTCTAAATCTTCAAAATCTTCCATACCTGATGTAATTAAGATAGGGGGTCTTAAACTATTCTCTTCTGAAGAAAAGGCTGATGCTTTTAATACTTATTTTGCGTCAGTTTTTACCTCCGACTCAAATGCTTCTTTACCTTTAATTTCTCCTTAGCAGTCATCATCAAACTTTCTTGACTCAATACCTGTTTCTGAATTTGAAGTTCAATCTTTGTTACCAAGTTTGTCACCCTCTAAGACTACTGGGCCTGATGGCATACCAGCATATCTTTTAAAGCGCTGTTCCGAAGTCATCGCTCCGTCTTTAACAGTTCTCTTCGAGTTGTCTCTTCAGCAGGGTGTATTTTCTTCTGAATGGAAATCTGCTAATGTGGTTCCAATACCTAAGAAAGGTGACGCTCATGAAGTCACCAAACTACAGACCTGTTTCGTTACTCTCCCAAGTCTCAAAAGTACTTGAACGCTTGATTTTTA